GCCCCTGGTTCCCAACCGGGGGTACTAGTACTTCATGGGGGTACCAGCGAACACCACAGGGGGTACCTGGGAAGCCTCTTAGACAATTTAAAAAAAGTAGTGCTATATAATAATCAGCGGGTGATTCAGGCATCTCTATCGACAGTGCCAACAAATCGTGGTTTTTGGTCAAGGCAAGCAAGCGACAGAGTGGTACCTTCCGCGTGCCAGCGCAGCAGCAGCAGGGCCCACGCAGCATGGGCCGGAGGGAGGAGGGGGAGGAACCCTACGTGTGCCAGAGCAGCAGTAGACATACGTCCCCGCAGCACGAGCGCGGTAGGGTTACCCCTCTGTGCGTCAGGGCAGTAGCGACATTATTCCTAAACAGCCACTGAAGCGCCTCCTAGACACAACGTCAGTAACAGAATTTTGGTGCAGTCAGCAGATACGCGAGGGAAAGGCTATCCCCGGGCGTGGAGGGACAGTACCGCAACGTGGCAGCACTAGTGTTAGGATTAGGGTTAGGATCAGGGTTAGAGTTAGGGTTAGAGTTAGGATTAGGGTTCGCGTTAGGGTTAGGGTTAGGGTTAGCGTTAGGGTTAGGGTATTTGCATCATGATATCTGTCCCCACACCATAGATTAATTTTTGTGGATGACACCCCTATATATAGAGATCCGATATATAGATATTTAGTGTTAGTGTTTGTGTTGGAGTTATGGTTATGGTTACTGTTAAGTTTTGAAGTATACGTCAACTGTATCACGTGACCATCCCACCACGCCCGGGGGATAGCAACACCCGAAAATACATCAACACCAGAAAAGTTTTAGTTTATGATCGGCAGATTAGTAAGTTTTCTGATGTATTTTCTATGAAAAACACACATTTTACTCACTAATATAAAATATAATATTACTATAATTACAATTATTTGTGTAAATGTGTTATTTTCTTAAGTTGTGTAAATGTGTAATGTCTTAAGTTATGAGAGGGTCTAGGTTCTCGTAATACTACATACTACGATACTACATACTACTATACGTACTCGTACTATAGAGTAGCCCTTCGCTCCGTCGCAGGACTGGAAGGAGCTAAGGGCTAGTACTAGAGCTATACGTATTCGTTGAGACGTTGACGCTAGACTGAGCAAAAAGTAAACAAACCTTTGCTATTAAACGACTCGTATGTGTAAGTACTTGTTTACATTTAAGCGTTTACATTTGCGTTCTGGAAATCCGATTGGCTGGTAAAAATACTTTTCGATGCAATCGGCTATAAAAGATTTTAGCGAAAGTGCAGTCAGTGACAGAACTAATGTACTTTCGCAAAATTGACGTTAATCTGAACATAGTTAGTAGAGGGAGTCTCCCTCTACGAACTATGATCTGAAGAGACAGGATCCCGCCCGACACACGAACAAAGTCTGTCCACGGAGAATAGCGAGAGTGAACAACGGCCATAGTGATGTTTCGTGTCCGCTTTTACCTTGAGATCTATATCTATCCTACGTGCGAGCATGGTGCTTGGTGCATGGTTATATCTTTGCAGTTTTCAGTCTAACTGTTTCAGTGTTTTGCGTATAGATGCACACGACGTGAATTATAACTTATAACGACACAAACGATAACAAGACTGTACGATACGTAACTATTCCTGCCCGTCACGTAGTATAATTATATACATAATCTGTTAAATGCACGCATGATCTAGATAACAATTTTATAATTTATGAATGAATAAACCCATACCTCGTTTTATTATTTCGTAATGAAGTTATCGAAATACATGATCTATTCATGTATATATTATGTAATACACTATATATAAGTATATACACACAAGATATATTTGTGCAACCTTACAACAGACCGTATTCCACGTATACAATCATGCGCACTCAAACATACCCTTTGTAGAACCAAGAGCAAAAATATCCCTAAAGAACATGCGCGCTCGTTTTGCAGACAAGGGTGGGTGCCCAAGTGATATTGATCGAGATTTTTGGGCTCGTGGAGTGCTTGACAAACACTTGATAACCGATAGGCAATTTTGAATCGATTATAATCAGTTTGGTAAGAGGAATAATAAAAAAACATTTAAACAACATTAAACATTAAAAAAAACATTGAAATAATATACAACTGACGAGTGGTGAGATAACGGCACCCCGTCCCCCTAACACCCGACATGTTCGTGTGTCAGGCGGGATCCTGTCTCTTCAGATTATAGTTCGTAGAGGGAGACTCCCTCTACTAACTATGTTTAGATTAACCTCAAATTTGCGAAAGTACATTAGTTCTGTCACTGACTGCACTTTCGCTAAAATCTTTTATAGCCGATTGCATCGAAAAGTATTTTTTACCAGCCAATCGGATTTCCAGAACGCAACGGCAAACAAGACAAACACCTTGTGTTCAATGCAGTTTCTGTGGTCAAAATAAAAAAAAACCGATTGCGTTCCTTCAATATTCAACTTCGCTGACGGACACCGACCAAGTCTCGAACCTCTACAGGGCACATATAGTAGGCGTACCCGTGGAGATAAATTGGTAAGTTTGACAAAGAACAAATTGAATACGCATTTGGTTTATAAGGTGGTCGTCATTGATGCTGTTAAGAAGTCCACTTTAGTTGTTTAGCAACTTTTTTGACGAGGTGGGAGCTTACTATACTTAAAAGTTCCAAAGCCCTGTAATGATTTGGCACAGCCACCTCTTAATCGGCTCACAGGAATTGCCAATTCTATGAACGCATATATATTTATGTGTCAGTGTGCAGCGGCAGCCATGGCGGCAGCCAGCGTTTGTTGCAGATGAGCATTTAGACAGCATTTGCAGGAAATTGTCGGCAATAATAGGTGAAAGAGAGTATAGAAACATTATAACTTTAATAAGAATTATTAAGTTTTATTAAGAATTATAAGAATTATAAGAATAAGAGTATATTAAGACTTTGTTAGTAAATAGATTTCGTATTTATTTAGCATTGTATTTTATTGAAACGCTCCAAGTGCCTGTAGTCTACAGCAGCTGCTGTAAACAAACACATCTTTCCCGCAGGCGCGATTTTTTTTCTTAGGATAATCAAGCACATAGGTCTCTAGCGAGCGCTGCGTGAGCGCTGCCATTGGTTGATACAAATCACATGCCTCAAACTCCTGTTTTATGGTGCATTGTCACCCTAACCCTATTAAAAAAAAAAAATTAATTGTTGTTATTAAATTGTTGTAAATAAATCATGTGAATATTTGCGTTAATTGGAAAAAAATTGTTAAATGAAATAAAGATGGAAAAATACAGAAAACAGTATTTATATGTTCGATCCAACGACCTTTCAGCCCTGACGTTCATGCTCTATGCGTTCGGCTATTCAGGATTAATAGGATTATTAATTATGGATGTGCCATGAATATTACCACACTGTGACGTCATTGAGCGACGAAACAAGCTCAACCAATGGCAGCGCTCACTAGAGCCCTATGTTCTTGATTATCCTAGGAAAAAAAATCACGCCTGCGGGAAAGATGTGTTTGTTTACAGCAGCTGCTGTAGACCACAGGCACTTGGAGCGTTTCAATAAAATATAATGCTAAATAAATACGAAATCTATTTACTACCAAAGTAACCAGTACCACGCTTCCCGCAGGGTGGTAAAAATCGGATCCTCGAAAGCTCCAATAGCGTATCCATCCGAGCTGAAGCATCCGGGCACTTTTAGAATGAATTGATTTGAAGTTTGGTTTGTAGTTGGCTGGTTCGGAAAGTGTAGTGAATAGATTGCAAGTCCTATGAATTGATTCAAAGTTTCCTTAATAGTTTTGCACATGGACCGGAAACAACAGAGTGGGCGGCAAATTGTAAACGTCAGTAAGTGATTTCAGAAGTCTTGAATAGATTGAAAGTTGATAAATTGATTGTTAAATGAGCTCTTAGATTGTAAACTTTTATATATGTTTTGAAAGCTGTATGGTTAATTTCTAATTTAAGCTATACATTTGTCGCAAGATTTGAACTTTTGTGAGTTTATGCAACATGTTCTCAATTCAATTGCAAGTTAGTAAATTGGTTTGTTGTTTTTAAAATAAATTGTACATTTAGAAAATGAATTTTTACAATGATGTGAAGGAATTTGTACATCAGGCAATTATTTTGGAAAGTGGTGAATTAATTTGCAAGTTAATAAATTGATTTGTTATTCTGTGAATTGATTTTAAATTTTGAATTTAAATTTCTCGAACAATATAAAGTAATTTGTATTTTTATTACTTAATTTGAAATGTTTAAAATTGATTTGAAATTGTGTACTTGAAATGTTTGAAAATGATTTTTGAAGGTGATGGCTTTCCATAGATTGTCGTCATATATTTCGCGCTGGCTTGTCGCCAACTTGCGCGCTCTCTCGCTCTCTTCCTCTCTCTCTCTATCTTCTCTCCTATATAAATGTTTCTCCTGTGTCGTAGCGGTGAAGTGTAACGCCACCCCCAGCGTCCTGCGTCTACTCGCTGACCTTGGTTCAAGCTTCGACTGCGCCAGTAAGCAGGAGATCTCCTCCGTTCTCTCTCACGGCGTCTGCCCCGACCGCATTGTCTTCGCGCATCCGTGCAAGATGGCGTCGCACGTGACGTACGCCGCCGAGCGGCACGTCGCCATGATGACCTTCGACAACGAGCTGGAGCTGGTCAAGGTCAAGCGGCTGTACCCGGCCGCTAGGTGAGCTGCTGTGTGTGTGTTTGTGTGTGTGTATGTGTGTGTGTATACAAGCGTACGTTCGCGTGCATGCGTGCACGTGCGCGTGTATGTACCACTACCTCTCACAATCTATCTCTTACTATCTACTTCTTATTGCCTACCTCATACTACATATCTTTTATCAGTTACTGTTACTTTTATTACAAACTGATACCTACTACTACTCTACTACCTACCTCCTACCTATTACTACCTGGCTATTACTACCTACCTACATACTACCTTATTACTACATATTTGTTACTATCTATCACATACTACTACCTTACTACATATCTCTCATTACCTATCTCTTACTACTTCTACTTTACTACTTCCTTCTAACTACCTATCTTTTACTACCTGACTCCTACCACTACCTTACTACCTATCTCTTACTACCTGACTCCTTACGTGATTTGTATCAACCAATGGCAGCGCTCACTAGAGCCCTATGTTCTTGATTATCCTAGGGGAAAAAATCACGCCTGCGGGAAAGATGTGTTTGTTTACAGCAGCTGCTGTAGACTACAGGCACTTGGAGCGTTTCAATAAAATATAATGCTAAATAAATACGAAATCTATTTACTACCAAGGTTTTAATGTTTCGATACTCTCTTTCACCTATTATTTGTGAACACAAGCTATTTGTCTTGTTTGCCGTTGTGTTCTGGAAATCCGATTGGCTGGTAAAAATACTTTTCGATGCAATCGCCTATAAAAGATTTTAGCGAAAGTGCAGTCAGTGACAGAACTAATGTACTTTCGCAAAATTGAGGTTAATCTGAACATAGTTAGTAGAGAGAGTATCCCTCTACGAACTATGATTTGAAGAGACAGGATCCCGCCCGACCACACGAACAAAGTCTGTCCACGGAGAATAGCGAGAGTGAACAACTTCCATAGTGATGTTTCGTGTCCGCTTTTACGTTGAGATCTATATCTATCCTACGTGCGAGCATGGTGCTTAGTGCATGGTTATATTTTTGCAGTTTTCAGTCTAAATGTTTCAGTGTTTTGCGTATAGATGCAAACGACGTGAATTATAACTTATAACGACACAAACAATAACAGGACTGTACGATACGTAACTATTCCTGCCCGTCACGTAATAATTATATACATAATCTGTTAAATCCACGCGTGATATAGATAACAATTTTGTAATTTATGAATGAATAAACCCATACCTCGTTTTATTATTTCGTAATGAAGTTCGAAATACATGATCTATTCATGTATATTATGTAATACCCTATATATAAGTATATACACAAAAAATATTAATTATTTGTGCAACCTTACAACAGACCGTATTCCACGTATACAATCATGCGCACTCAAACATACCCTTTGTAGAAGCAAGAGCAAAAATATCCCTAAAAAACATGCGCGCTCGTTTTTGCGGACAAGGGTGGGTGCCCAAGAGATATTAATCGAGATTTTTGGGCTCGTGGAGTGCTTGACAAACACTTGATAACCGATAGGCGATTTTGAATGGATTATAATCAGTTTGGTAAGAGGAATAATAAAAAACATTTAAACAACATTAAACATTAAAAAAACATTTAAATAATATACAACTGACGAGTGGTGAGATAACGACATCCCCTCCCCCTAACACCGGACATAGCTACTAGGTCAGTTATGCGTTCACATGTGTTTCACGACTGTATTTAACCAATGTTTTATCTCTCTCTCCATCTATATGTACATAAATAGTATACCATATATGCAGCAACAAGTATACGACAAGTATTGTTTCAAACGTGATCAGCTTTTATAAAGCACGAGTGATGTACAATAACGCACTACTTCTAGCCTCGCTAAAGGCTTGTCGCGTTTCAAGGTCACGTACTCCCTCCCCCTGCGGCAATCGGTGACCTTGAGCTCAACTCGGGGCACGAGCGTTGATGTTCTGTCTGTCGTCTACTAGGACGAGCATTTTGTCGTCGAGTATATATATATATCCATCTCTCTTTCGCGCGCGCTCTTTCTCGCTCTTTCTCTCGCCCACAATTCCGTTGTTCCTCTGTGTGTCGAAGGTGTCGCATCTGTGATGTCGTCTGCTGGAGCTAGTTTGTCGCGTGTCATTCGTCGCGTGCCGTCAGGTGATGACGACTGCCTTCGGAACACCTGCACGACTGAATCCGGTGAGTTTACAGTTCTGTTCGTATCTCTAGATTCGGTTCGATGCATCGGCATGCATGCATGCAGTGAGTTGGACGCTGGGCTGATCGAAGGAGAGGAAACATTTCCTCGCTTGCCGAGGGAACTGAACTAATCATTCCCCGATTACATTAATTATTAATTATAATAAATTATTCAATTAAGCTTATTTGGAACTTCGGTCATAACAGTCACCGAGTCGGAAATCTACATAAAAAATCACGCCATGATAGAATGCGCTCGTTTGGCTGTGGCGAGAGGGTAAGATTTATGTCGAGATGCGTTATTTTCAGAATTAGGCTTAAATTTATTCTAGAGTACAGAGGTAGAACGCTTACATGCTGAGTTAGTAAGAGATGCGGTTGAGATACGTAAAATAACGAGATATCTCCCTGGATATCTCCACATCTGTTATTAAAACCGCTCGGAGTGTCCAAAAATTAGGGGTCCATATCCTGTTCTCCCAGTTAAAAGATATGTGTCACTTTCCAGTTCTCAATTAAATAAAATCGCACTTCACACATCTTTTAAAGTCATCTGGTATTTCTTGGTTCCCAGATAATTAAAACGATCCAATCAAATCAAATCCAAAATAACCCTTTCCCCTTCCCTCCCCGCTCATGCGGTTATTGATCACTAACATTGATCACGACAATTTATGACAAATTTATTTCGTGACATTCGATGGGTTGACAATTCTGTAGTCGCTGTAACAGGGACATCTGACGTCGCCAGTAGCAGCAGCATGAGGGGGCTGGAGATGTCGAAGGCAACCCGTGACGTCATACGGCGCGTCATCACAAACAGCAAAACGGTAAGGTAAACACACAAGCAGCCAGCGGCCCGATTTCGGAAAGAAAATTAGTCCTAACATTAATCTTAGATCGTAGACAGAAACGCATCGTAAAGTTACGATGACGAAAAATCCTACCAAATTTCCTCCTCATAACTTGACGACAGAAAATTCTGTTAGCCGTCCACGAGAAAAAGTCTAAAACGGTAAGACTACCTGTAGGACTCTGGCATGGATTTTGATTCTGGCATCGTGGCCCCTGGCATATCGCACGGATGGCTGCGTATAAGAAGGTTATATATCGTACATGGACACGAAGAAAATGTATACGCGATGACGAGCTTTCTCTCTCTCTCCTTCTCACTTTCTCTCTCTCTCTCTCTTTCTCCCTTCCTCGCTCTCTACCTCTTTCTCTCTATCTCTTTCTCTCTCTCTCTCTCTCTCTCTCTCTTTCTCACTTCCTCGCTCTCTACCTCTTTCTCTCTTCTCTCTTCCTCTTTCTCTCTCTCTCCTCTCTCTCTCTATGTGTTCTCGCTCTCTCTCTCGCTCTACCGCTCTCTCTCTTCACTATGGACGTTGTTCACTCTCGCTATTCTCCGTGGACAGACTTTGTTCGTGTGTCGAGCGGGATCCTGTCTCTTCAGATCATAGTTCGTAGAGGGATACTCCCTCTACTAACTATGTTCAGATTAACCTCAATTTTGCGAAAGTACATTAGTTCTGTCACTGACTGCACTTTCGCTGAAATCTTTTATAGCCCGGGGCACGAGCGTTGAGATTCTGTCTGTCGTCTACTAGGACGAGCATTTTGTCGTCGAGTATATATATATATCCATCTCTCTCTCGCGCGCGCTCTTTCTCGCTCTTTCTCTCGCTCAGAATTCCGTTGTTTCTCTGTGTGTCGAGGGTGTCGCATCTGTGATGTCGTCTGCTGGAGCTAGTTTGTCGCGTGTCATTCGTCGCGTGCCGTCAGGTGATGACGACTGCCTTCGGAACACCTGCACGACTGAATCCGGTGAGTTTACAGTTTCGTTCGTATCTCTAGATTCGGTTAATAGATGCATCGGCATGCATGCATGCAGTGAGTTGGACGCTGGGCTGATCGAAGGAGAGGAAACATTTCCTCGCTTGCCGAGGGAACTGAAGATCATTCCACGATTACATTAATCATTAATTATAATAAATTATTAAATTAAGCTTATTTGGAACTTCGGAACGACGTCATAACAGTCGCCGAGTCGGAAATCTACATAAAAAATCACGCCATGATAGAATGCGCTCGTTTGGCTGTGGCGTGAGGGTAAATTTTATGTCGAGATGCGTTGTTTTCAGAATTAGGCTCAAATTTATTCTAGAGTACAGAGGTAGAACGCTTACATGCTGAGTTAGTAAGAGATGCGGTTGAGATACGTAAACCCTCCCTGGATATCTCCACATCTGTTATTAAAACCGCTGGGGGAGTCCAAAAATGAGGGGTCCATATCCTGTTCTCCCAGTTAAAAGATATGTGTCACTTTCCAGTTCTCAGTTAAATAAAATCGCACTTCCAAATCTTTTAAAGTCATCTAGTATTTCTTGGTTCCCAGATAATTAAAACGATCCAATCAAATCAAATCCAAAATAACCCTTTCCAGAACGGACGAATATACTAATCGTAAAAGGATAATATCATACATAGAATCACAAGCCACGAAGGGTGACCAATCAAAGAACGAAGTGAAATACAATAGTAAGACTACGATTGTGATACAAAAACGGTCAAGAGTGATAATCAATAATGCACGAGGATGTACACAAAAGCACCGAAGATGTACACATAAAGCACGATGATGTATCAATAAAACACAGTATTACAAAAAGCACAGTGAGTACAATAAAGCGGCACGAGCTATCGGTACAATACAGGGCACCGAGTGCATTGTACAATAAAGCACGAGTTATGTCAATACAAGCACTTCGCGAGGATGTACCACTAACGCACGCCGAGTGACGGCTACAATACAGCACCGCAGTGACTGTA